CTTTTTGCATCTCAGGCCTTTCTTCCTTCCTTCTAGTTTTCTCAGGAAGAATGCTGCCCTTCAAGAGACCAAGATATATGTAAGGAACTCTGATCCAACCTTCCACTCTTCTTAAGCCCTCAGTTTTGCTTCCAATCCTTTGAGTACTCAGCCTTTGTAAACCATGCACCTACTTCATTATCAGGTACCAGAAGACGCCCTCAAGGCAAACGTTGAGTTTGCTTATTTTTGTGGAACCAAGCTTCCTCATTTCAACCTCTGTTTCTCTTAGTTTTTTGCCAGCTCAATCATGCTTTCAATAAATATTTTAAATATATTATTTAGCATTTTTGGATGACCTGACCAGGAAGTTTTTCTCTGAAGATCATTCTATCTTGTTGCCCGAATGTTCTTAGGTAACTTTTTTAGTATTCATATTCTTAGAAATGATTTCACATAATTGTTCTATTTATTATGTATGCTTTATCAATGAAAAGTATAACTTGAAAAGGTTTTTAGAAATGAAATTAACGACTTTTTTCTTCACAGATGATTTCTTGTTTACCTATCATATATATTTTATACAAGCTAAGAGTCATTTCTAAAATACTACTCTTTTTTTTCTGAATTCTAAGTGCAAATATTGACTCCACTATATTTTCCTCAACATCTCATAAACATTTCTAAACATACAGTCAAGTTGAAAGAATATATACCTATCACCTGTATTCTGTCATCATTTTATAATATTGCTTTATCACATAACCATCTACTTATCCATCTATCAATCTATCTTATATTTTTGGTATTGCATTGCAAAGGAAAATGCAGACATCAGTAAATTGCCCCACAAATACTTCATAAACATAATATTTTTATTTCTAGGCAATAAAACTCACATTCCCAAAATTTTGCCTACTATTTTATAAGTATTTAAAAAGTTTAATTATCTGTGCCATAATCTCATAACACCATTTGAGTCAGAAAACAATAGTCTTATAAGAAGGGGAAAAAGTAAAATAAATTAATTATTAACACTTTATAATACTTTATACCTCCCCATCAGTAAATAAGTTTTATATGTGGCACATTCATTTGAAATATTTGCCTATTCATTTAATCAGTATTTAGGAGTACCTAATATGGTTTCTATTATGACGAAAAGTCATAATAGAAAGTCATAATAGAATTGCTAGTACTTTCCTGTTCAGTATTTGTAGAAGACTATTCAGTTTCACAGAGGCAGAAAGGTAAACAATTACCTTTTAAACTTAGGCAGAGTTGCATTTGCCTTCAACAGGTGTCTTCCAGTTCAATGATTTTATAAGTTAGAATGTAAATCTCTTTAAAATTTTATTATAATAAACACTTTATTTAGCTATAATATCAAGGCTATGCTTCTACTGTTTTCTACTTTAATGTAAGAGCATGATTTAAATTCCTAGGGAGCATTTCTTTATGAAAATTGATCACTTTGAACACACACAAAAAGGTTTCAGGAAAGAACATTAGAAGTAAGCTTTAAAGTTTAGATTTGCTTGAATTTGGAGAAAATAATATTTCCTACTTGCTAAAGACAAAAAACGTTAAGAAAAGTAAAAAGATGTCTGTAGAATTCCTCTACTGTCAAGACAAAAACAAAATTGTATATAAAACATTTATTTTCATAATTTATTTTCATACAGTGTACCTGTCTATTATCAGAAATTCATATTATGGATTCACCTTTTATATGCTGGATGAAATTAAAATCGATATAATATTATATTCTTCTTTATCAAAAGAATCCAATCTAGACTCAGGCAATCTGAGTCCCATGTGAGTAATCTTATATACATAACTAAATTCCATGAGGTTTTTCTTCCTCTTTAATTAAAAATTCCCTATTGATATGGAGACCTGCTATTATCTGTCCATAATGCCACAACTCCTAGAGAAGGGCATGGCAAGTGTTCAAGGGGGCTTGCATGTACCCACATTCCTGAGAGTTAACGAAAGGAGCACTTCCCCTTATCTCCTATGCACTCCCAGTAACTTCAAAGAATCCTTAACTTCCTTCCTTGCAGACTGTGCCTAATTAGCTAAGAGATGTGAATCCCAATTTACTCCCTTTTCTTAGTAGCCAAAGGTTTGAATAATGTAGTATCAAGGTAATCATAAGTCTTGTGATTTGTATAACTTTTGTATATAACAACATGCAATGTATGATGTCTTAGGCCTTGTTAACTCCCTTTACTCTATGGCAAGCTTGATTAACGCTTCTGCCCAGATGTTACTGATAAAAAGCTGTGAGATACCTCTGGTAACCACTGCCAGAAAACATGGACCATAAAAATCATTATTTGTAAAATGTGGCTGTAATTTAAGTTCTATACAATGCTCTGCCAGTCATGTGGTCGATGTACAGGTACCAACAACCTGAACTTATAAAAACAGACTGTAAAACTTGAAGGGTGAGCAGAACCATTTTAGAAAGGCCAAGAACCAGGTTCCGCTCTATGAATTCAAATTCAGAACTGAACCTTGTTCCACCAATTCCCTGCCTCTCGATTTATTGGTGTCGAGGATTAGCAACTGAGAATTACTCAGATTGTAACACTATGATGTTCTTTACTGTTTAGGACTTCTTCTAAGACCTAATAACTTTTTTTAGGAGTATTAAAATAATAGCTAGCCAAAGGACAGGAAGGATTACAATTCTAGCACTTCATAAATACAAAAAGGTATTTGGCTTGTTTCTCTTCCCCTAAGCAGGAGAACTTCTTGGCAGCAGATTAAACAAAAGAATGGTTTCAACTTAAGCTATCTCATTTAATTTTTTTCCAAACTTACTTTTCTTTTTTCATAATGCTGTGTATAGCCTACTATCAAAAAAGAATTAATAAACACTCATCATAACTGAAATAGTAGCAAAACATACACAAAAACAAAAAAAGTGAAAAAACGAGGATACCTCAAGGGAAAATATCCAGTTCTGAATGTAACCATAATCTAGATGTCTAGGGAAAAAAAGCTAAAGTCTAATGATAATGATTACAATAGTAGTAATAGTCACCTCTTCCAAAAAATAATTAGAAAGCTACATCTGAGAAAAAATAATGAACAAAAAAATTACACATTAGTAGAAAAGTCCATCTTAGGGCTAGCAGGATAATTATAAAATATGATTCTTATGCAAAAACTGAATAAAGTCAGAGAAGCCAGAGACACCAACAGAAAGCTGAGGCCACCAACAGAAGTTGTCCTAAACTTCTGTTTCATTAACATTCATCTTTTGGGGATCTTCAGAAACAAAGGAAACAAAATAGTATCAATGAAAGTAAAGAACAAAGTTCTAAGTCTAAATAAATGTGACATCAACCTCAACACCTTTGTTAGCATATATTCATTGTGTTTGGAATATGTTCATTCATAAAAGACAGCCTCATGTAGATAAAGAGTCTTGGAATATGCTAACGTTATTCAGATAAAAAGGCAAGATTCAATTACAAATCATAACTCTTACAAAATTGTAATGTTTCACAACTTCTAAAAGGGACCTCACTTCTTGGTAGAGTTAAAAATGCTACTTTATATATATAAACCTAATTATAGAACAAGACCATCTGCACAACAAAATAGCTTCTCAGATCTTGACCACTCTTGAAACTTCCCCTTTCTTTTTGAGCAATCAAGATATTTATCATTCTACTCTTAAATGAATCACAAATTCCAGGTATTTTACAGGTGACACCTAAAAAATACACAACCAATGATAGATAAATTGTCTTAAGGAAAGAGCAGGGAGCATAGAATCAAGAAAATCAGTTCAAGATTTGGCAGCACCAATAACCTGTTATTTGATCTAAGCAAGCCACATATGTATGTCTCAGTGTACTCATTTGTCAAATGATAATATTACCTTAACAGGGTTGTTCTGAGAAAAAACAGAAAATATTTACCAAAGTCCTTGAAAGAGTAAAAGGCACTATAACAGTTAGATTATATTATTAGTAAAATTAAAACTTTAAAATCAACTCCTATTGTAATCCTTCCTTTTGGTACATGGAGTTGAAAATTATATTATTTTCTACTATAAAACAGATCATATACAAAAGTTTGTATATGTACAAAGTTATGTATATATAAAGTTAGATATATATTTATATACACACACAGCAAAAAAATAATTTTAACGGACTCTAACAGATACCACCCATCTTAAGAAATGAAATATTACTAATCCCTTGTAGTCTCCCATATGCCTGTTCTATCATATTTCTTTTCATCCATTCCAGACTATTCTAACTTTGTGCTAATCACTTTCTTGGTCTTATATATGGTGCTACCACATGTATATGTATCTCTAAACTGTCTATCTATCCATTCCTCTTCCTTTGTTTTATCCATCCATCCATTAATTTATCCCGCTTTTTAAACTTTATATATATGGAATATGCTGTATATACTTGTCCTTCAATTTCTATAATATTTTTCTCAGAGCAATTTCCTGACATTATTATCTAATTTTTCACATAATTCCTAAAATTAAAGATCAAAGTATACCCATTTAAAGCAGAGAAAATGAGATACAGTGAAGCTAAAGTTGCCATATTATATGAGAATACAATTATGAATCTTTCTACAGTAATTCTAAAAGTAAAGCACCAATGATTGTCTCTGAGTTTTATAGCACATTCATAATTTTAGCTTCAATCAAAATGAAAACATTTCTGTAGTGCTAGGAGGATAGTTCTGTCAATATTTTTATACTGACTTTACATAGCTGATACGTTTTCTTCCATTTTAAAGAAGAAAGTATATTAAAGAGCTCTGATTATGTAAAAACTCTAAATAATATTCAAGTATTCCCTTCAAGGGAAAAATAACAAATTAAAGACTATCAAAAGAAGATTTACTTTTTTTCTGAGGAGATATACTGTTGGGAAACATATAGTCATACTATAGAATTCATTTTAATTAAAGACAATGGTTCCAGAAATAACTAGTCTGACACTAATCAAGCGAAAAATATAATTCACCTTAGCAAGTGGTGGAAGAATCTCCTTGCATATTTGCTGATTTGGTCTCTATATTCCAATATAGTTGTATCCAGAAGTGGTCTTGTTGGAGCATAGAAGGTTCCAAGGCTTGCCTCAAGCTGTGCTGTGGAATTCAAACATAGCAGCACTAAAACAAGGGAAACTCCTTCAATTACAACAGAATACTCATGTTTGCAGTCATTCAGGTTTTGCAAACTTGAATGTAATGTGAGCTTGTTGCAGGAAAGATGAAATTAAAATATGACAGCTGGTACAAAAACAAACCTGTGTATAAACTTTCACTTGAGGCAAAGCTGACAATGACTCTGAGCAACAAAAAGCTGTCAAAACTGAATAAATCCATAATGAATCAACCTCTCACCACAAATGGGTAATTAAATCAGTGACTCATCAAAGTAACACAGTTTGAACTAGTACTTCCAGTAAAATCAGCTCACAGTGTGCTCAACATTTACTCTCTTTAACTGAAAGAAGAAAACTAACTTTTCATACTGAAATCAGGATAGTGGAAATTTTTTCAAAAATAATACAAATAAACATAGTTTTATTGGAATAGGAATATGTCTCTATTACAATTTTAAGAGAACAGCGCAAAGTCCCTGTGTCTTCCCTAAGTCCTCCCCTAAAAATCAAGATTCTTGATTTTCCCCAAGTGTGAAACACATCACCCCTGGGAAAAGAAAGAAGAATTGGAGAGGCAAGTTTCGATAAACTAGAGGGCTAGAGATTGGGAAGCACATTATTCCTATTTCACAATTTTACCAAGACATGCTTTTGGGGATGCTTATGGGAATATGCTTCTTCCCAGAAGTACCTGGAAGTTAAGTAATTACCATAACGGTGAGAGTATGAGTATGTATGAGAACACTACAGTTCACAGTAAGACTCTTCTGATTTTTGCGCTACTAGCACTGGGTTGAATAAACAATTCCTTATTTAGCAAAACTCTAGTTTTAGGTGTATTTGGGTTTGAAAGCATTAAATACTTCATCAGAGTAATTGCTATGAGCATGGCTAAGCTGTTAGTAATTTCTTTTTTTAATCTCAAATCTAGACAGTAAAGTAAAATGAACTTTATAGGTATTTTCTTTCAAGGCAGCAGTCAATTTAGATTAAAATTGAATACAGCAATGCTGTTGTGAAAACAAGCCAGATTCTTCTGCCATTGCTTGTTTTCTTGACAGCATGTTTTGTACATCTGAAATGTTCATACCTACATGGAATACTCATAACTCCCAGCACAGTTATAGATTCATTAGATAGCCCAGCTTGATGTTTAAGGCAGAAATGAAGATCTCAAAGATAACTACAACACAGCTACAAATAAAAGAGCTCACTGGGTTCCACTAATAAAAGCAAAACAAATTACCATGTCAAATTTGTTAGATTCAGATAGAATAAATCTCAACAAAGAAGAATCCTGAATGTTTAAAAAATGCATTTTGCAGTTACTTGGGGGGAAATGCACATACCTACTTAAAATGTACCTATTCTGACAACTCAGCATCATGCAAGCATTTTATTTTAATAGCCTAGTATCATACAAGCTTTTTATTTCCCTATCTCCCCAATATGGTTTCTTGAAAACATCCTTTATTAAGGTAAGAATCTGATAATGCCCGTCTGTGTATACCCCAATAACCTTTCTTACAAAACAGTAATCTTACAACACAAATCCACTAAGGTGCTAGCAAATTCTCAGTGTCCTGAAGGAGAGTCAGTATTTTATCTTTTTCATATATCTTCTTTAGTAAGTTTAGGATCTCTTGTATAGATTGTGTGTATCATAATAGGGTTTCTTTAGAGATTGTGCTTTTAAAAATATTTTATTTCTTAATTTTTTTAGTATGTACCCAGTCTTGAGAGTGTATAAATATTAAGAAATAATTGAGATAACTCTGCAGGCAGCAATAATATAGTAATACCTTGTACCCTAAAATCTTGGAGTCATGCTCTTTATTCTTAACTAATATTCATTGAGTACCTACTATGGCCCAAGCACTATGGTGGGCATTTTTTCACTGTAGAAATATAAGAATTTTCATAGGTAGCCTTGGACCACCCCCAAAAAGCACATTCTATTAACATTAAGTAAGTATTTATTGTGGGCCTTCTGTGACTTGGGCCAAGACCAATGATATACACTTCCTCGTATATCATGTTCTTACTGATCATTCTTCCCTAAATTCATGAAAATGAAGGTTGCCTATAGAATTCTATCAAAACAACTTGTTTATTTTGGAAATATAACAAAATTCAATGAAAAAAACTATAAAAATGAAAAGAAAATAGTAGGAAAGAAAAAGCTCTCCAGTAACATCTACGATCCCTATGGGCAAAATTACTTTCTCAGAAAAGGTAGGGACATCTAAGCAGACAGAAGGGAGAGGGTTATCAGAACTATTAATTAGAATTATGAAAACATGGAGCAGTCTGAGCTACAATCTTGACACACACACACAAAAGTGAGTGTTAAGGACTATTTTCTGAACAGAGGACTAGGCTGTGAGAAAAAAATATTCATAACTTACGTGAGGGAGGAATAAAAACCTTTGTTTGGCCCTTTGTCTATCAGACCCCAGAGATTACACAAAATTTTTGATCAAAGTTTGAAATCTGAGCATATCCAACACATGAGCTTAGACTAAATTGTACAGTGACTACATTGTGAATTCCAACATAAGCATACACAACAGTTGTTCTTCATGTTGACAAATACTATACAGTAAGTACGATATTGGAACAATTATTTGATACCTGATTCTTTCCTTTTTAATAGAGCTTTAACATTTTTGTCTTTTAATCTCCAATAACATCCTCAAAAAATAACTAGCTCAATAAAATTTATTTCATGTATTAAAAAAGCCATCTATAAAATATATTTCAAGTCTGACCTTCTCTCTCTGGAGTGAGCTTTTGTCTAAGAAGATGGTTTACAATGGCACTCATGCTGATAAAGCATTGGTGGCCCAGAGTGTCCCAGTTCATGCTACTTAGGATATTTATCGCCTCATAGATCTCATCACAGTGAATGTACTGGAAGATGATGTCTACCAGGCCAAGTTGTCCTTGAGTGAAGATACCTGTTACAAGACATGTAAACCAATGTGAATCTTTTAAAATAAAAATTAGGACAGCAAAAAGAGTTAAATAATACAAAAAAGGAAAAACTGTAATCATTTCTTATATAAGTGCTACAAATGTAGGAATCTCCTTCTCAACTAATATTTGCTATAAGATATATTGGTACAACAAATACATATTTGTTTATCCTTTTAAAAGTAAAGAAAATTCACTTTTAATCTTAGAGGACCAAGAGCACAAGCCAATGGTTGAGGGAGAGGCATCCTGTTCTGGTTTTATTTTATCATTTTTAAAAATATGGTTGATCTCATTTGAAACTAACAATTTCTATATATTAAATGATAGTAAGTACTAGGGCTTTTAAGCAGGTTTCAATTTTTTTTTAATTTTGTTTTGTTTTTAATCTTTTAAAAAATGACTGGTTAGCCGGGCTCGGTGGCTCAGCCTGTAATCCTGCGCTTTGGGAGGCTGAGGTGAGTGGATTGCCTGAGCCCACGGGTTAGGGACCCACCCGGGCAACTTAGAGAGACCTTGTCTCTACAATAAATCAAAAATTAGCCAGGCATGGTAGCGGGTGCCTGTAGTCCCAGCTAGTTGGAAGGCTGAGGCGGAAGGACCGCCAGAGCCCAGCAAGTCGAGGCTGCAGTGGCTGGGCACGCGCGTGCCACCGCACT